TATTTTATTTATTTTTTTAAATATTTGTTTATTCATTTATTTATTTGTCTCACACACACACACAGAGCACACCAGAGCATGAGCAGGGGAGCAGCCGAGGCAGAGGGAGAAGCAGGGTTTCCGCTGAGCAGGGAGTCTGATGCGGGACTCGATCCCAGGACCCTGGGATCATGACCCGTGCCAAAGGCAGACGTTTAACCCACTGAGCCACCCAGGCATCCCTAAAATTTATTTAAAAAGAGAGCACGAGCGGGAGGAGGGGCAGAGGGAGAGGAAGAGAGAGAATCTCAAACAGACTCCCCACTGAGCTCGGAGCCTGACATGGGGCTCTAACCCTGAGATCACGACCTGAGCTGAAATCAAGAGTCAGACGCTTAACCGACCGAGCCACCAGGTGCCCCTAATCTTTTTTTATTTTTTAATTTTTTTTAAAATTTATTGAGACCCTAACATGTCTCTTTTGGAGAATGTCATATGTGCACTTGAGAAGAATGTATATTTTGCCGTTGTTGTGTGGGGCGGTCTTCCTGTGACTGCTGTGGTCCCATACATACCACAGCTGGAACTGGTTTTTGAATTGCAAGTATGATCTAAACAATCCCCTGCTTAAAATGGACTCTGGAGATAAAGTCTTATCTCTGTAAGGTAGTTTGTCACATCCTTCTTGAACTTGCTCCTGACTACCTGTCCAGAATCACATCTCCTCTTTACTTTTTCATTTTTTATTGTAGTAAAATACAAATTACATAATGTAAAATCCAGCATTTTAACCATTTTTGATGCATGATTCAGCAGCATTAAGTATATTTGCATTACTGTGCAACCTCCTCTTTTCTTTTGGACTCTGGGCTCCGGCCATCTTTTCGTGCTCATTCATTTAAGAAAAAGCTATTGAATGTCCACTAGGAGACAGGCACTGTTTGAGACACTGGAGGTACATCAGGGAACAAATTTCTGTCTAGAAATTCCCTGCCCCGTGCAGCTTCCATTTCTTAATGGAAACAAAACAAAACAAATAAGTACAACATACAGCATGTTATTAGATAGTGACTCATATTAAGAAAAAAAAAAACAGAGTAGGGAAGGGAAATAGGAATTGTGTGTGTGTGTGTATGTGTGTTGAAATTTTAGAAAGAATCATCAGGGAAGGTCTCCCTGCGGAGACATTTGAGTAAAGTCCAGAAGGTACTAATGAGGGAAGTCATTTCTCTATTTGGGGGAAAAGCATTCCAGATAGAGGGAAGAGCAAGTACAAAGATCCTGAGGCAGGATCATGCCTGAAATATCGAATGCAAATCGAAGAGGTCAATTTGGTTAGTACACAGTCAGATCACGTAGGACCTTTATGAAGCTTTTCATCATTTTCAACTGAAAATATGATCCATTCTCAACTGAAAATATGATCCAACTGAAAATATGATCTCAACTGAAAATATGATCCAAAATATGACATTTACTGCTTAAATTTAAAAAAAAATTTTTTTTCACCTGAGTGCAGCAGGGAGCCACTGGAAGTTTTTGAGCGTGATGGGATATGATCTATATTTTAAGAGATTACTTTGGCTGTTCTACTGAAAATACACATTAGGGAAATCGAGTATGGGACAGAGAGACAATTAGGAGGCTATTGTAATAATCCAGGTAATAAGTAGCTGTATATATAGGATTCTGGGGTGCAGGGGGAAAATGGGCTGGACTCCCAATTTGAGAGTTCCCAGCGTGTGAAATGGCCACACACTTTCCCCTTCACTATTGTTGTGGGAGCGGCCAAGGAGGTCTTTTGATGAACGAACATTATCGAGCTGAGTGCCCGCTAGGTGTGAGTGCTGACGCACCGGTTTTGGGCTTGGGTAGGTGAGAGGAGAGGGTGCCACTTATTGGCAGAGACAGGGGACACACGGAGAGGTGCAGTTCTGGGAGGAGCGGATGGATCCGCGTGGGACGTGTTGCATTTGCGGCGTGTGTGGCGGCGTCCCGGAAGGAGCCGGCTGTGCGGGGCCGCGGTTCTGCGCTGGAGACTTGGCACGCTGCCTTGGGAGTGGCTGGGAGCGAGCCCGGGGGAGCCTGAGTCTCTCAGCTGCCGGGAACAGGGATGACACATCTTCCCACATCCATTGTTTTCTGTTTCCCTTAAGCGCCTGCCGTCATCACACGAGACGCCCTAAATCCACCGCTGCCCAACCATGCTTATTCCCACAGCTCCTCCCCTCGCCCCGCGACTGCGCAGAGCGGGAGGGGCGCTACACCCACGCCGCCGGGGGCGGGCCTTGCAGGCGGTGACGTCACGCGGAGCCGTGGCTTCGGCGGCCCCGCCCCCCTGCCCGACCGCGGGGGACCCGCCGGCTGGACGCTGGGCGCTCGGGTCTCGGCGGGCCCCGGCCGCGGGGGGTGCCTCAGGCCAGCTGGAGGAGGCTGCGCTCGGCCAGCAAGCCCTGGGTGCGGTTGTAGACATCCTCCAGGGTGCCCGCCACCCGGACCAGCGCGGCCCGCGCCTCCGCCTCCCCGGCGCCCGGGCACGCCAGCTCGAGCCAGCGGTCGCGACCCGGGAAGGCGAGGAACGCTAGGCGGGCGGCCTGGCGGACCAGCCAGGGGTGGTGCGGGCCCAGGGCCGTGCGGTACGCGTCGCTGCACTGCGCGCCGGCGTCCGGTCCTCCGAGCGTCCCGGTCGCCACCCGGTGGAGGCAGAGCTGGGACCAGCGCAGCGCTCGGTGCAGCAAGAGCAGGATCCGTGAGCCCGAGGAGCTGGTGGTGTCTCGGGGGGCGATCCCGGGGCGCTCCAGCCGTCCCTCCCGCCGCTCCCACGCCACCATGGCCACCAGCGAGGAGTAGTGCGCCGCCTCGGGGCCGTGCACCCGAGCCTCGAGGGTTGTCACTTTGGCGAAGGCCTCGCTCGTGGCGAAGGCGAAGATGGAGCCGAGGGGAGTTAGGAACCTGCGTGTTCGGTGGCGGGCAGAGCGCGGTGGTTGGAGAGGGGGCGGGGGACCCCGGGAGGCGGGCGCCGGGTGGGGGGGGGGCGCGAGACCGCTCACCTGACCAGCGCCCTCCATCCGGCTAGGTACTGCGACAACGCCACATCCCCTTCGGGGTTCAGACTGGCGCGGAACGGCCACATCACGCGGCCCACCACCCCCTGGGGGCCCACACATTGAGGCTCTTCCCACTCGGGGGCCTCCAGGGGACCCGACTGCCGCGGGACCTGGGGACAGACACGGGCGGAAGAGGGCGGGAGGAGAACCCCTAGCCTGCGGGGCCTCCTTCGCCCCGCAGCCCAGTGGGGCCCTGCAGAAATGAGCCCTACGGCTGGCGTCTCTCCTGCTGTACTCGGCTTCGGACGGGAGAGGGGACACGAGGAGCAGGACCCACCTGTCACCAGATCCTCAGCCTGGCCCCTCTCCCCCCGATCGGGGCCCCACCCGGAGCTCCTGGTCCCAGCCCCGTGCCGAGCATACCTGGACAGGCGATGTTCCCTCGGGAATGCACGACTGTGTCCCGGATCTGCAGCCTGAGAGGGCGCCTGGGGAGGGGCGAGACCCAGCGGTGAGGGCGCGAGGAGGGGGTCTAGGTTCCCAGCGCTTGGCTTCCCGGTTCCTCCCAGAGCCGAGGGAAGGGACCACTCACGAAAGCTCCAAGCGCAGAGATAAAGAAGCAGCAGCAAGAGGAGCGCGAGAGGAATCGAGTGGCGGACCCAGCGCCGCGAGGCCAGCGGAAGCAGCACGACCCCCACGGCCGCTGCTGGGGCCATCGCCCCCTCTCCAGCCCCAAGCCAGCCCTTGTCCCTCCGCCTCGGGAGAAGCCTGCGGTGCCCTAAGTTGTTAAGGGTTAATAATTAACCTACTAAGGCCCCTTCCTCTGTGCTCTTTGCCCCAGAGGGCAGCATCCCAGCAGAGGACAGGATGAAGAAGATTTGGGGGGGGGGGTGGTCGATTCAGCAGCAACCACTTGTCTCTGCGCTTGCCTTATGTGTAGGGCCAGGTTGTGTAAGAGGGAAGAGGGGCTGGGGTGAGAACCAGCTCCCCCACCGAGCAATGGGTGTGGGCCCTACACTAACTGGGCTTGAATTCCCACCACCGTAAATTGAGGACAATAAATAATAGGTACTTTGTCGATCTCATTCGAGGATTAGCTGATATCGTATGTGCAAACACTGTACATGGAAAAGCTGACCACAATTGCTCCATAAAATCTTAACCTATGAAGTTCAAACATAGGGCAACTGGGATCCAGGAAGCACCCACTTCTAAATTCACAATCCAGTCTTCAGGGGACCTGTCTTGATCTGGATGCTTTATACGTTAGGCTTTAACTGTTTACATTTTTGTGGTTTAATTCCTTTCAAACTCCAGATTGGTTCTGGTTCTCCGGTTATTCATTTTTTGCGTGCGTGATTTTTTTTTTTAAATAATCTCTATGCGCGACGTGGGATGAACTCATGGCCCGAAGATCAAGAGTTGCATGCTCTACGGACTGAGCCAGGCAAGCACGCCCCCCACATTATTCTTCAAACCAAACTTTATTAACTATTTCTGCATCCAGGCCCTGTACTAGGCCTCAAGGAGACAAAAGAACCTTCACACAGCTCAAGGTCCATTGGAAAATGTATCGTCTGTCTCCCCCACACAGATGTGGGCTCCAGTGAAGACAGGGGCCTTGTTTTTCCTGGTTGCTGTTCTATTTGCAGCACTTAGAATATTGCCTGGGCCCAAATACATTGTTGCTATATAAATATATATTTGAATAAACACAAGAAAGTGTGGAGAGCAGGCAAATCGGGTGGTGTGCCCCACGATAGATGAGCCATTTTTTTTTCTTCCCAAATTAGGAGTCCACCTGGTGGTCATAGCTAGGAAAACATTCAGGGGAAGGACCCAGGAAACGACAGAAGAAACAGCATCTCTTGTCCCTAGGGGGTTCTCAATCCCCTGTCCATAAACTTCCTAGAATTGTTCCTGTCTGTGTATACTTTCTTCTCAGGGGAAGGGGTACCCCAGATTCTCTGGGAGTCAGGGCCCCAACCACTCTGAAGATCCTTTCTAGCTCCCACGGTTTCTGGATTCTTGCCACATCTCTCCCTCTAATGCTCCCTCAACTCCTGGAGGTCCCTAAGGTTGCTGCTGACCAATCCTGTCCAGCATTTCAGAGCATCACTTCCATCCCTAGACTTAGGCTCTCCACTTCCCAGTGTAGGAGCTGGGAGTTTGCCAGCTTGCTGACCTTGACCTTAGACAAGTTGCTTGCCATTTCTAAGCCCTGGTTCCATCACCTGCGGAATAGAAAGGGTAATCCCCACCTCCTATACTCGTTATGAGGATTGAATAACAAGGCCTGCAGGACGTAACCACAAGTCACGGCCTGTAGTAAATGTTCAGCAGGGGGTGGTTTATTCAAATGGTCAGTTCTCTTTGTCTTCCTGAGCAGAGAATGGAGTCTGCAGGGTTCCCGGAACGGATTAGTTTCGGGTGTCACTTAATCCGGGAGGCCCTTCTGTAACCAGAGACTTCAGAGCAGCAGAGGGGGTATAAATTGCGAACAGGGCCCAGCTCACAGGCTGCAGGATGGAGAGGGGGGCCGGAGCCCAGCTGTGGCTCCTGCTGTGGGTCACCTGTTGCGGACACGCACAAGCCCACCACCTGAGTGACTACACTTCGGTCATCGAAGTGACCAATGGGGGTCCTTGGGGCGACTGGGCCTGGCCTGAGATGTGTCCTGATGGATTCTTTGCCAGTGGGTTCTCGCTCAAGGTGGGGGTTCAGACCTAGGTCTCTGAGGAGGGTCTCCCAGGAGGGAGACGCACGACCCCGTGCCCGGGGACACAGGCTAGCAATCTTTTAACTGGTCCTTGTCCCTCTGCTCCTCCCGGCACAGGAGGAGCCCCCCCAAGGCATTCCTGGCGACGACACTGCTTTGAACGGGATCCGACTGCACTGCTCACGCGGGAACGCCGAGCGCGACACACACGTGGTGGAGTCCCAGTCTGGAAGGTGCGGGACAGGGGCCAAGGGCCCCCAGGATGCAGCTGTGCCCCTTACCCTCTGTTACACACCCACCCTCCCCGCTAAAATGTTCCCCCAGGGCTGTGGGGCAGTTTAGAGCTGGGGAGTGGGTGGAAGACCTCCCCTCTGCCCCTCGGTGGAGGTCAGGTGACGGACCCCACCCACCCGGGTCCCGCAGCACCGGCTGAGGAGTCCCCAAGGCTCGGTCGGAATGGGGGTGGGGAGGACCCAGAGGCAGCGCTTCTCCCCTTCCCTCGCAGGTGGGGCGCGTGGAGTGAGCCGCTGTGGTGTCCCGGCGGTGGCTTCCTCGTGGCTTTCTCACTGCGCGTGGAGGCCCCCAAGAGCCTTGCGGACAACACGGCGGCCAACAACGTACGCTTCCGCTGCTCGGACCACACGGAGCTGGAGGGCCCCGGCCTGGCCTGGGGCAACTTTGGAGAATGGAGTAAGCCCTGCCCCAAAGGCATGTGCGGTTTGCAGACCAAGGTGGAGCGGCCGAGGGGCCTCCAGGATGACACCGCCCTGAACGACGTGCGCTTTTTCTGCTGCCACAATTAACGAGGGCACCCGCCCCGGGGCCAATCCCACTGCTTGCTATTAAAGCTTCTCTGTCTTGGCTCTGGTCTGGCTTGTTTCAGGGGTAGGAAACTGCTGTCTCCTTGTCTTCCTCCCAGCCCGTCACTGGGCCAGGCCCAAAGTCGGGTTTGGGCTCAGGTGTCCTGGAAGGCCACTGAAAGGTACGGACCCAAGGAAAATGCCCTTAAACACAGTTCTGCGCCCGAGTTAAGGAAGTCCCTGGCTTCCTGAGGGCGTCTGCAGACACCTCGTCCTCATTAAGAGCTCAGACTGTTTCCTTTCTGAACTACCGGTGACCTCAGATAGAGAAACTTCTACCAAGTTAGGAGACGATAAAGCTAGAACACCTTAAGCTTTCATTTTCTAAAGCTTATTTTCCACAGTTTCCTTCCTTTCCCTACAAAAGTTAAAGAGTGGCTTTTCCATGTACGGATTTCCGCTTGGGACCTTTGTCCTTGCTGCTCCCCACCTGGAACCCCCCAGCTACCCAGATGGCTGACCCATTCACCAGATTTCAGCTCCAATTCCACTTTCTCAGACTTCACCTTATCTTAAAAAGTCCCTCCAGCAGCCAATACCTATCCCATTACCAGCGTGTTTTTTTTAAAAAGTGAAGTAATCCACTGCCTTTTCAAAAAAAAAATGTACCCATCTTAGACCCCTGGGTTGTTAAATTCTTTGAGCGCACAGAACTTGCCTGTCTTGTTTACCACTGTATTTGAGCACACACCGACAGCTCAGTAACTCCTAGCTAACACTTGCAGGGGTCCCAAACAGGAGCGCCCCCAGGGCCCTCTGTATCTGGAGGCATCATCTGAGACGCGCAGGAGAGTTCAAAGGTTTATTTCCAGGGCGGGGTGGGCCAGGCGCGCGTCCAGGAGCGAGCAGGCCGGTCAGTGCAGCCTCAGCGAGGGGTGCCCTGCGGAAAAGAGAAAGTGAGGACGCAGCCAGGGAGCACGGAGGCTCTCGCTCCAGCTCCAGCCCTCGCCGCCCCACCTCCTTCCTGCAATCGCCGCAGAAGACACCGAGGGTGGCGTTCACCAGCTGCACCCCGCACAGCACGATCTCCAGGCACGAGGCGGCCACCAGCAGCGAGAAGAGTGTCACATTCCAGGAGACCACGCCAGGCGGCTCCACGCACAAATTCCACAGAGTACGGTTCTGCAAGTAAGAGCCTCTGCGGGGGGCGGGGCAGGGTCACGTGGGAGAGGTAGGGCACTCGGAGTGTCCTCCCTCCAGCCCCGCGCCTGCGCTGAGGGGGGTTTGGCCCACGTGGAGGTGGCTCCCGCGAAGGCGCACCCCGTTCCCGGGTCCCCGAGTTCCCCATCCGGGTGGGAAAGGCAGGGAAGGGGGGCGCGCGAAGCCTTACTTGGTGTCTCTGAAGTGGTAATCCCACCCGCGGTCCGTTAAGCATTTGGGTCCAATTCGGAGCCCGGCTCCCGACACCGAGAGGCAGTAGATGGCCCCTAGCACCCCGAAGGCCGAGGAGAAGATGGAGCGCAGCATCTGGATGCGCAGTGCAAGGGGAGGTGAGCGGGGCCGCCTCCTCCCGCGTGCGCGCACCTTACCTCGCCCGGCTCTAGGCGCGGGAGAAATTCGTCTCCCGGCAAAGACCGGGGCTGGGCCTCGCGGAGGTTCGTGGGAGTCATGGCCCCCTTTGCAGGCCCACTGAGGCCGAAGTTGGGGGGCGAGGGAGGGGCGAGGCAGAGCTGGGACTCTGCGGGGGGGAGCTCCCGTGGCTAGGGGGACCGTGGCTTCAGGTGTGGCTCTGCGGAGGCGGGTTCAGAGACCCAGCCCCGAGTCCTGCCCGCGTTTGGAGCTTACCCTGCAACGATTTCCACAGCAGCCTGCACCACAACAGCCCTTGCCCCCTGCCCGAACCGCTGAGATGCCCGGACACAGCACCTGCGGAGGAGGGTCAGTGTGACAGCAAGCCCCCCACCCTATCCTCCACACCTTTCGTGCATCGTGCATGGGTGCTCATCTTCCTCCTGGAGCTGCCTGGGATGCCCTCAGCCCTCTGGACCATAGGAAGACCTTGTCTCCATTACTCCCCGAGAGCCTTTGGGTTCTACTTTATTTATCATTATCTACGTGCCTACTTATCTGTGTTCAAATTGCAGAGGGCAGGGCCCAATGGTAGCCTCCACAAATCTTGGCACCTAGTAGGTGCCCCACTGAGCCAGAGTCAGGGGGCCTGGGGTTAAGGCCCACCTTGTGCTCACTTCACACTCGGTGAATTGATTCATCTCTGTGGGTCTTCAAGACCTACCTCACAGGGCTGTGCTCAGGATTTAATGAAATAACAGGCCGACCTGAGGTCAAGACTGGCTCAATACAAGCCCCCTCGGCAGCAGGAAGGATCAGTGGTGCTGGAGTGTCTGGTGAGCTGGGATTAGGTGGAGGGGGGAGGAGGATGTTAGTGAATGCTCTGATGGGAAGTGTAGGGACTCCCAAGGTCCAGCCCTGGACCTTCTTGTCCTTCTTCCTGTGGCCCTCCTCCCAGAGCCCATCCCTGTCCTCTGGGACAGTGCTCACCCCCAGATTCAAATCTACCTGCTGAAGGTTATGTTCCTTTCAGTGTCTCGGCTCAAACCAGCCAGCCTCATACTGACCTCGCAGGTCCGCCAGAGTTCCCCAAATTCACCTCCCTGTGACTTTTTTTGTCTCCATCAGTGTTAATATTCTTCAGGTCACCAACACTAGAAAACTGGAATCCTTCACACCCAGCCAGACCTCAAGTCTTCTTGACTTTTCCTTTAGCGGCTCTCCAATCTGTCTGTCCTTCTGTCTGCACGGTCCCATCCCCGATCACCTCCCACAAGGATGACCTTCTCAGCTTCTCTATGAATCGTCTGTATCTCTTGCCCCCGTGCGACTGAACACTCCATCCTCCATTGCTCCCACCACAGTGAACTTAGCTTTCAACGGGGGCTTTTCTCTGCCCAAAGCCTTCAGGGTGTCCTCAGAGAGTAGCCCATCAAGACTGAGCTCTGGGAGGGGAGCCTGGGTGGTTCAGTCGGTGGACCGTCCGCCTCTTGGTTTTTGGCTCAGGTTATGATCTCAGGGTCATGGGATCGAGCCCCACGCTGGGCTCCGTGATCAACGTGGAGTCTGCTCGGGATTCTTTGTCTCCTTCTCCCCCTGTCCTTCCCCCCAGTCACGTGCACACACACACTCCCACCCTAAAATAATAAACAATAATAAAGTCTTAAAATAATAAATAAAGTCTTAAAAAAAAAAAAAGCAAACAAACCGCGGCTGAGCTCCAGGAAGGCATTCAAGTCTCCTCGCTTTGGCTCTAGCCTTAATTTCTTGCACCACACCAGGTTCTTTGCCCATCTCTGGAATTCCACAGCTCTCTTGATCTTTGCCTCCCTGTGTACCTGGTGTGGTACAGAGCGTACCAGGCAGCATTTTGTTCCTCCCTAGGGGTGGGGCTGAGGGTTTTGATTCTGTTATCTCTTGCATCGTGACCTCATAGGGAGCTGAGCGGAGTTCTGCTGGATGCTCCCTCTCCTCTCTTTCACGTCCCCCAGCAGGTCTAGAACCAGTGCTGGCCCCTTTGCTTCACCTCTCTGGGTAGGACACTTAACTGGGAAGCTCCAGGATCCAAAGACACCTAGAATTGCCTTTGGGATTGACCAGTTTCGAATGACCAGCTACCTCTTTGAGATTTCTACTTTCTTAAAGTGTTTAAGTTCCTTTTGTTGTCCGAGCTCCTCTGTCTTACTCTGTGTCAAGAGAAGGGTCACGGTAAGTGCGGAAGGAAGCCCTGAGTTTACAGCTCCCATCTGCTTCCTTGGCCCCTGGCCCATTCTCAGCCACTATCAACTCTCCTGGACAACCACAGTGACCTCCGTCTGCTCTTACATCACCAGCTCCCCTCCAACTCTTCCTCCACACAGCAACCAGTGAGACCTTCTAAATCCAGCAGGGTATGGAGCAACTAAAGCTCTCCTAGTTTGCTGATGGGAATGAACTTGGGATAAGAACTTCAGAAAACTTTTTGGCAATATCTATCAGCACTGAATACTTGCACACCTTAAGAATTAACAGTTTCACCCCCTAAGTATCCATCCAACAGCCACGCAAACAGAACTTCACCTGAAGACATTTACAGGAATGTTTATAGCAGCATTACTTGTAATAAACCCAAGTTGGGGCCTATCTAAAAGGCCATCGACAGTAGGATGTTTAAATTAATTGCGGTCCATTCACACACTGGAATGCACCAGAAATAATAGACTACGTGTCTACCTAATGATACGGAAGAACCTCACAAACATATGTTGAGCTAGAGAAGCCAGACACAAAATTGTTATACTGGATGATTCCATTTATATAAAGTGTCGAACAGGCAAAACTAGCCTACGGGGCTAGAAATCAGGGTAGTGGGGACTCTCATCGGCGTAAAGCCTGGTGTGGGAGGCCTGTCTGGGATTCTGGTAATGACCTGTATCTTGGTCTGAGTGCTGGGTACATGGTGGGTTCACTGTAAAAATTCACTGGGCTGGGGCGCCTGGGTGGCTCAGTCGGTTAAGCGTCTGCCTTCGGCTCAGGTCTTGATCCCGGGGTCCTGGGTTCGAGCCCTGCATCGGGCTCCCCGCTCGGCGGGGTGTCTGCTTCTCCCTCTGCCTGCCGCTCCCCCCCCCCGCTTGTGTTCTCTCTCTCTCTCTGTCAAATAAATTAATAAAATCTTTTTAAAAAAAGGTATACTCTCTTGCTTACAGGTGAAATTCAAAGAGGATAGAAGATGATATTTAGGAAAAAAATGCTATAAACAGTGCCCACCCCCAGCATGCTGCTTTCTGTCCTGGGTCATACCTACTTCCTGTCTGAAACCGTCTTGCTCATTTGTTTACTTTGCTCACCGAGGATTAATCGAGTGCCCGTCAAGTACAGGGGCACTGGACTAGGCAGGTACCTGGCACACGGAGCCAGCGAAACAGGCAGTCCTTGCTCTCATGGAGCCCCCGTTGCTGCTTCCATGGTACTGCGTTCTCTGCAGCGGGAACCCAGCTCCAGGGGAGCAGGGACATGGCCTGTGTCCCCGGGGAGCAGCAGGGACTGACTGCTGGCAAGCGGCTCAGGGCCTGGAGGTGGGAAGAGCGCAGCTGGGAATGAGCATGGGTGGGGGGCATGCCTGGCGTGGGGATCCCCACCCCCAAGCAGGCTGGTTAGATTGCAGGGAGGTGGGCATGGCGGGCTGGAGGGGAGTGCAGTGTGACACTGAGGGAGCGTGTAGGGAGGAATGTCTCTGTGGCCAGAGAAAGAGGCAAAGGAAGGGACCTCCGTCCATCCAGGGACTTTCATCCATGGGTGGGGGGGTTCGTCTGAGTAGTGAGGAGCCCTGCTGGGTAGGTCTCCTGTCTTCATCCCACGATGCTGTTAAACTACCCTGACCTTCCAGAAGTTCCCCCAAACAGGGAGGGGTTGGAGGGTGGGGACGAGGAGGTCCGGGAGAGACGTCTCCCCTGCCCCCACTTGTGACAGATGCGAGTCTCCGGGAAGACCTGGGGCACCTTCTCCACCACGCTGACCTGAGTTCTGGGTTGGTGCAGCACCGGGTGGGCGTCCAGAAGTGTGGGCTGCCAGTGAGGGGACATGGAGGTGACCCTGCTCCTGACGCCAGCGTCCCCACACCCACGCTCCACGCCCGTTATCAGCTTGCCCTGATCAGCGCCCCCACAGCTAGCTCTTCCCAGCGGTGCCCTAGCATCTGCTGCAGGGCAGGGGCTGGGAGGGACAGGTAGGATGCCCTCCCTACCCAGAAGGGAAGCTGCTTAGAGGCTCCCTCCTTCCTTCCTTCTCTTTTCCCATGCACGTTCAGCTCAGGTGCTGAACTCACAGGTGCTCAGTATCCGGGGGCAGCCTGGGAGGCTCCAGGCCTCCGCCAGGCCACTGCCCCCCGGCCCCGCCCCTCTCCCCTCTGAGCGCGCTCAGGACCCCGCCGCCCAGTGGCATCCAGTCCGCTCACCATCAGGCCCCCGCCGAAGAAGCCAGCCATGAGCCAGACTTGTATGCTGAGCTGGTTGACGTTGGTCCAGGTGGTCTTGCCCTGAGGCACCAGCAAAAGGGCATTGGACAGGATGCAGATCAGGGACAGGGGGATGAGGGAGAGCCCCACGAAGCGGGAGCACTTTCCAGTGCACATGGTGAGGCAGCCGCAAGGATGCGAGCCCTGAGTGAAAGTAAGCCCGGGTTCCCAGGTCCAGAAAAAAAAACCAACAAGCCCGGAGCAAGGTACAAAGGTTGGGGAGAGATAAGAGAGAAGCAGGAGACCAGGCAAAGAGGAGGTGACGGTGGAGGGGGTGGGGAGCTTGACCTGGAGGAAGTGGCCTGAGGTCAGTGTGTGTTCTTGCTCCTTTCCTGCATGCGTCTGCAGTTCTCAGCATCTCCCCCCCCCCCGCCCCCGTGAGCTCCTTGCCGGCTTTGTGACTCAGCCGGGCCCCGAAGCCTGAGTCCCTGTGGCTTCGAGGGCGTGAAAGCTGGAGTGACCCCATGTCTTGCGTGGTAGGTCGTGCGGATGAAATGGGACCGTGTGAGGAGCGTTTTGTAAAATGGGCTGTGCTTAGCGGGCGTGCAGTGGCCCCCTCGCTCCCAGTGGGCCCTCGAGGAAGGGCCTTCCTGGAAGGAAACTAAGAGGATGTTGGTGGACCCTCATCATCTGCTCATTTCTTTTTTTTTTTTAAGATTTTATTTATTTATTTGAGAGAGCGAGAATGAGAGAGAGAGAGAGAGCATGAGAGGGGGGAGGGTCAGAGGGAGAAGCAGACTCCCCGCTGAGCGGGGAGCCCGATGCAGGACTCGATCCCGGGACTCCAGGATCATGACCTGAGCTGAAGGCAGTTGCTTAACCAACTGTGCCACCCAGGCGCCCATCTGCTCATTTCTGTTGTCAGTACTTGTTTAAAAAGCCCTCCTCCTGGGGCACCTGGGTGGCTCGGTCGGTGAGGCACCTGCCTTCGGCTCAGGTCATGATCCCGGGGGCCTGGGATGGAGCCCCGCATCGGGCTCCCTGCTCGGCGGGAGGTCTGCTTCTCCTTCTGCCCCCCACCCCCCTTGCTCATGCTCTCTCTTTCTCACACTCTCTCTCAAATAAATGTATAAAAATCTCAAAAGATAATAATAAACTTAAAAAAAAAACCCAAAATCATAGGGATTCTGAAAATTTCCTGCAAAACGAGGGGCGGGGCACATCATCCTGAAGACTGAGAGAAAGAAAAGAACACTGGAGAAATACTTACTGTAGGATTTGGGTGGGATTTTCAGAAAGGTTTTCACTAGAATTCTCCTGGAAGCAGGAGCAGAGCACCGTAACATAGAAAGGTTGGGCCGCGAAGGCGCCAGCATGTATTTGGGGGAGAAAAGAGAGAATTGCACAGAACCCCAAAATGTGCAGAGAGAATCGAAGCCCACACGGGAGAGCAGGACTGCCACGGGGCCGGAGTGAGTGAAGGGTGCAGGGGACACGCTCGAGATGTCCCGGGTAAGGAAAATGGCTGTTTCCAATGACCCGGTAGAGCTGTTGGCTGAGACACCCCAGTCCACAGTCTGCGTGAGGAGCAAGCTGCTCTGGGCATGGGTCCACCTGTGTCCGCTGGCCAAAAGGCACAGTGCATCCCAGTAAGATGTTAAAAGCCAGCCGAACCTGGATTCATCTTGAAGAACCACATCATGAAAGGGTACATGTAGGCAGCATTAAAGGTCACCTAGAAAGGAAAAAAATTGGCCTGGCCCGAGATTTCTCTGCGGCCCTAAATGCCGGAAGACAGAGAAACGGGGTCTATGATTCTGACAGCAAGCAAAGCACTATGTCCCAACAATCGTATGAATATCCAAGGTGCTTTTTGTGTGTGGGAAGGGCAGTAGAATCACATTTCTGAGAATGCTTGGGTTTGAAATACAACTGTGTCTCTTTCTTCTCCTTTATTAATTCCTTTTAAAAGTATTTGAAGTCACTGAGAGATGTGGTAAAAGAAAAATCCCCCAAGTGGGGAAGTCCTGACGTAACTCTAAACAACTTTTATCAAACTGAGTTGTGAAGGTGAATGTCGGTTTCAAAAAGAAAAGCCTCTTAAAGAGAAAAATACACATAAATCCTAAAAATTATATTAACAGTTGTAAAGATGTCCATGGTTTATTGTGTGCTGTGCCCAGAGTCCATTTTAAGAAAATAAATATGAAATAACAGAAAACCCAACTCTACTGAAACCAAAAGGGAATCTCTTGGTTCAGGTAATCAAAACGTCCAAAGGTAGAACTAACTTTCTTTTTTTTTTTTTTTTTAAGATTTTATTTATTCATTTGCGAGAGAGACAGAGAGAGAACAAGCAGGGGGAGAGGCAGAGGGAGAGGGAGAAGCAGACTCCCTGCCGAGCAAGGAGCCCGATGCGGGACTCCTTGGGATCATGACCTGAGCCGAAGGCAGACGCTTAACCATCTGAGCCACCCAGGCGCCCGGTAGAACTAACTTTCAAGCATGATTGATAAAGAAGTTATCGATAGGCTGGACTTCATTAATATTAAAAACTTTTGCTCTGCAGGAGACACCATCAGGAGAATGAGAAGACAAGCCACAGACAAGGAGAAAGTATTTGCAAAAGACACAGCTAATCAAAGACTGTTACCCAGGACATACAAAGCATTCTTAGGGGACACCTGGGTGCCTTAGTTGGTTAAGTGTCTGCCTTCCGCTCAGTGGAGCTCAGTGGGGGGTCTGCTTCTCCCTCTCCCTCCCCCTGCTCGTGTGTGCTCTCTCCCTCTCAAATAAATAAATAAAATCTTAAAAAAAAAGCAACAACTCAACAATAAAAGAAAGAACAGCCCAATTAAAAAATTGGGCAAAAGACCCAAATGGACACCTCGCCGAAGAGGATATCCAGCTGGCAAATAGCATATAAAAAGAAGTTCCACATCATGTCATTAAGGAACTGCAAATACCCCAATAACAACGGGACACTGCCACACACCTACGAGAATGGCCAAAATCCAAAATGTTGACAATACTAAGTGCTGACGAAGATGTGGGGAGACAGAAACTCTCAGTCCCTGCTGGTGGGAATGCCACGTGATGCAGCTGCTTTGGAAGAAAATCGCAGTTTCTTATAAAACCAAACATGCTCACCATACGGTCCCACAATTGGACTTTTAGGTATTTACCCAAACGAGTCAAAACGTAGTTCCACACAAAAACCTGCACATGACGTTTATAGCGGCTTTATTCTGGACTGCTAAAACTTGGAAGCACCCGGGCGCCTGGGTGGCTCAGATGGTTGGGCGTCTGCCTTCGGCTCAGGTCATGATCCCGGAGTCCTGGGATCGGGTCCCGCATCAGGCTCCCTGCTCCTTGGGAGCCTGCTTCTCCCTCTGCCTCTCTCCCTCTCTCTGTCTCTCATGAATAAATAAAGATAAAAAAAAAATCTTAAAAAAAAAACAACTTGGAAGCACCCAAGATGCTCCGTGGCAGGTGAGTGGATAAATAGACTGTGGTCCATCAGGACAATACGTTATTGTTTAGCGCTAAAAAGCAATGAGCTTTCAGTCCACAAAAAGACAAAAATGAGACTTAACTGCATAATGCTAAGCGAAAGAAGCCAATCTGAAAAGGCCACGCACTACGTGATTCCAGCCCTAGGATGCGTTGGAAAAGGCAAAACTCTGGGGATGGTAAAAAGGGCCGCGGGTGCGGGGGGCTGGGGAGGGGAGAGGGATGGATGGACAGAGCAGACTGCATGTTTGGGGCAGTGAAATTATTCTGTGTGATGCTGTCATGGTGAACCCAGGTCGTGATATGCGTTTGTCCAACACCAAAAGTAAACCCCACCGTAAACTGTGGCCTTGGGTGATAATGATGAATTTGTGTAGGTTCACTGACTGTAACACACGCACCACACTGGGGTTAGGTGTTGACCTTGGGGGGGGGCCGGGGGGGCCCCGGGGGTGTAATGGACACACTCTGTACTTTCCACTCAATTTAGTGGCCTTAAACTGCTCCAGAAAAAAAGTCTGGTTAAAAAAAAAAAAAAAGTCTCCAAGCTAAGAGAGTAGACTTTTTTTTAAGATTTTTATTTATTTATTTGACAGAGAGAGACACAGCGAGAGAGGGAACACAAGCAGGGGGAGTGGGAGAGGGAGAAGCAGGCTTCCCATGGAGCAGGGAGCCCGACGTGGGGCTCGTTCCCAGGGCCCTGGGATCATGACCTGAGCTGAAGGCAGATGGTTAACCAACTGAGCCACCCAGGCACCCCAAGAGAGTAGATCTTAAAAGTTCTCATCACGAGAAAAAAATAATTGCATCAATGTGAGGCGCTGGATGTCAAGTACACTTCTGTTGGGGATCGGTTTACGGTAAATGCATGTCCCCGTTAAACCTACAGAGCCTTATGTCGGTTACATCTCCCTCTTACAAAGTCTTCAAAAAGCTTGCACTGTGTTTTCAAGTGGAGACAAAAGGCTAAGGCGTTTAGAAAGGCACAAAAACGAAGTAGTGGGGTGAAGATTTGGTGAGCGCTGAGAGTTCGTCCTGTGGCCAGCACCTGCAGAACCAGGAAAGGAGCAGCGGCTTGGGAGGCGCCACTGGGGACAGTCGTGGGGGCTCCTGGGAAATGCTGCCTCAGCAGGGCCCCCCGCTGATGATCGATGATCAGTGATCCATCGCACAGAGCACGGGATCGGGTGGCAAACGAGGAAGACATCGGTAACTCGATCAGGACATGATTCAGGAGTCAGACTGAAGACACGTTGGAAATAGGACAACTGGAGTTTATTTTGCGTATAGCTTTCTTCCCCTGGTATGCGCCAGGGTGATTTTTCAAAGGGCCTGAAATTCACATAAAATACACATTTTAAGCGTTAAGAAAGCATCATGTTAGGGCTTAACTGGAGGCATTTCTTCTTGGCGAGACACAGAGTCTGGTGGTGCAGTTGCAGGTGTCTGAGGTTAAGTGAGACTCAGGGGCCCAGCTCACCGGCCGCCAGCAGGGCCCCTCCTGTACTTGGGGAGGAAGGCGATCTGCTAGGAATTCGGGCTGATGAAGGACAGATACGGAGGCAGGGGCTAAGAGAGGCGGGCGGCCGTGGCTCCGTATCCGGGGGGTCAGGGAATCGGAGCCACAGAGCCGGATGCAGGAGGCCCGGGCTCCTAGTCCAGGGCTCCTC